CAGTATTTGGCGCATATATGTTTAAAATTGTTATCTCTGCCTGTTGAATTGTTCTCTTAACTAGTATGTAGTGTCCTCCTTTGCTTCTTTTAATCAGTTTTGGCTCAAAGCCCACTTTGTCTAAAAATAGAATAGTTGTTCCTGTTTGCTTTCAGACTCCCATTGCATGGGATATTGTTTACCATTGATTTTTTAATACATGAATTTATTTTTGGATTAATTGTCTCTCTTATATGCAGCATGGCACTGGATTCTGTTTTTCATATCCAGTCTGCCAACTGAGGAGTTGAGACCATTCACGCTGAGAGTTATTACTGAAAGATACTGACCTATTCCTGTCACTATATTCTTTTCCTATCACTGAATCCCTTTTTACCCCCTTCTGCTTACCCTGCCTGGTGTATTTTTTCCATTAGACTTTTTGGCATTGTTGGCTTTATTACCTCTGTCTAAGATAACCTTGGGAATTTTTTGGAGTGCTAGTTCAGTGGTTGTGAATTTCTTAGGATGGTCTTTGTCATGGAATGGCCTTATTTCTCATCAAATTTGAAAGATAGTTTTGCAGGATATATTAGTCTAGATTGAAAGTTGTTTTCTTTTAGGGCTTGAAATACTTCACTCCAAGCTCTCATGGTGTTTAAGGTTTGTGTTGAGAAGTCTGCTGTAATTCTAATGGGCTTACCTTTACAAGTGTTTTGCTACTTTTCTTTAACAGCTTTTAAGCTTCTGTCATTGTGCTGGACTTGTAGGATTTTGAATATAATGTCATGGAGAGATTCTTCTTTGATTGTGGTTGTTTGAGATTCTATATATGTTTTTCTTCCTTGTATGTTGAATTATTTCCCCTTATTTGGAAAGTTTTCTGTTATGATTTCTCCAAACATTCTGTTTTAATTCCATGTGTGCCATTTCTGACTTTTCTCTACAGTTAGTCTTAGGTTAGTCTTCTGTGTGCCATCTAGCAGCTGGGATCAATTTTCTTTGCTCTCTTGTTGCCTTTAAGGGATCTCTGAGCATCTGGTCCCATGGGTCAGACCTGTCTTCCAGTTCTGACACTCTCCTCACATTGGTCACTTCTGCTGCCCATGCCTTCAATACAAGTCTTTATCTCTCAGACTTCTGTGTGGCCCAATTTCATGGACTCTGATTCTTTGTTAATTTGTCTTTCATATTTTGAATTGTTTTTAGCTCTTCTCATTTTTTATTTAATCTTCTTTAAACTCACTGATCAATTTATTTATTAAATCCACTATCTGTTTAGTTATAGCTTTGGGGTTGCCAAATTTCTTTCTTTTTTGATCATTTCATATGATTCAGCCATTTGGTATTTAATTTCCTCCCCATGGATTCCCCCTGGATCTGCTTTGGGGAATTGGGAGTTTCTGGAGGCATTTTGTGACCTTGTTTTCTCATGTTGTATTTGTTGTTGTTCTGAGGGCCAAGGATCAACTAGAATGGAAAGACTCTGTGGCTAGCATGGAGATCCTTTTAGTTAGAGATTTTCAGTGATGTGATCTTGGCTTTCTTCACTTGTTGCTCTTAGCTACTTTCTCAATGTATTGAGTGTAACAGGCTTCAACCCAGTCACTGTGTTGCAAAGGGAGAATTCCTATAGGTTTTAACGATGTCACCAGATCAAACCACGTATCAGTCATGTACATCAAAACTTGTTCTAAGAAGCTTATCCTTTTATCAATGTCCTTTCCAGGCTGAACTACACTGCTGTCAACAGCCAGCTGGAAGATGGAGGGAGGAGGGAAGGAAAAGGAAAGTGAAAAGGAAGGGAGTAAGTCAGTAAGAAGAGGGGGAGAGAAATATCAGTAGCTGGAAAAGAAACAGGAGTTCAGACTGTGCAATGATTTTCATAGCTAGAGGAAAGGGTGGTGTTGAGGGGGTCTGAAGGAGACCGGTGAGAGTGGGAGGAGGGATGCAGTGAGAGGGACGTGTAATTAGAGACCGAGGGAAGCTGTGACATTGTCAGAACCTGTTCTTTTGTTGGTGGTTAGTTTACATTTGGATCCTTTATGCACAATTTTGGCAGGGCTTACCCTGATATGCCCTTGAAGGGTACTGTTTAAGTGAATGCACTAGTTAATGCTTATTCCCTTTGGCACATATGCAGGCACCTCCTATACATGCTGGATGAAAGGTGTAAAGGACGAGGGGGAAAATAGGGGGATAAGAAAGAGAGGACGGGAGAAGAAAAGAGAAATGAGAGGAATAAAAGGAAATGAAAAAGGAAAAAATAGAGGAAAAATAAAAAGAAAAACAAGAATAAGGAAAAATAATAAAAAAGAAGCCATAACCAAAAGCAATGAATGAATGAATGAATGAACAGACAGCCTCTGGCAGTTGCAAGCACACAAAACCCAAGTTTCCTCAGAGTCCTGCCGCAGTGCAGTCTCTGAGCACCACCGCGCCCCAAGGTTTGCTTCATGGCTGCCTGTGAGTGGGCTGCAAGCTGAGCTCTGTACATGGCTAACTGCAGCCTTGGTCTCTGTCCCAGGCCTGAGGACCTCAGTTACCTCAGGGAGGGGGTGCGGTGTCAGCGGCCCACACCAGGCTCTCTGGCGACTCCTCTCACCACAACTCCTTCCCTGCTGGGCACGGCCTGGTCACCTCTGGGTTTTCTTCCCATAGCCTCTTGCCCAGTGCATTGCTGCTGAAGCTCTCTGCGCTGGGCGCCTCTCTGTCCCTCCCCTGCTGCTCTCCCACCTGAGAACTTGCTGTCCCCAAGGTGCCTTCCTTTGCAGGCCCAGCAGGGAATGTGTCTCCTACTCTGCTCTCCAGTTTTCAGTTCCTCTGAAGCCCTGGCTGGTGAGTGTCTCACCCACTCAGTTTGGGTCCAGGCTAATTGCTGAGGAGCCAAAATACGACTGGATCCACCACTGAAGCGGGGATGTTGATAGCCAGGAGGTAGGTGGAGTTTTCATGCAGGCGTAGATCACGGTGGACCTGGAGGCTGTGCAGGTGCACACTCCAGTTATGTGTGTCCTCCACCCTTGAACTCCGCTGGAGCAGGCATGCTCACTAACACAGGCTGCCCGCGCAGTGGAGGCCTGGGTCGGATGGGCCAGATGGAAGACGCCGGGGCTCCCTCTTGCCATATGACAGAAAACCAAAAGCAGAGCTGCGTCCTTGAGAGAACAGAAACCAGCACCACTGGAAACATGTGGAAGACAGAGTGGTGGTCCCATCCCAGCCTGGCTTGCTGCCTGTGTGACCTGTGTGGAAGGCAGATGGATCTTAGCGGGAAACCAGGAACTGCTGTCCCAAGCGCGCTTATCTTTATGAAACATGTCAGTGCAAACCCGGGCAGTTGCTGCGCACTATCTGTGTGGCCAGTGCTTTCTGTATCTGCCCCAGGGTGCACCGGAACTGTTCTCCTGTGTGATGAGGCCGCTGTCCCTCTAGTCTGTCTGTGGAATGGAAACTCCCACTTCTTGCCAGGCTCTCTCCCAGAGAGGCCTAGGCCATCCAGGCAAAGGCTCTGAGCTGCCTGGATGAGGTGAGCAGGCCTGAAGTTGGCACTGTGGATGCCTCCATCAACAGGTGTGACCAGGGGACGGGATGCGAGAAATTCACACAGTGAGCCCTGAAATACCCTGGCATTTCCTTTCGCTGCAGGGTCCCCAGAAGGGAGCTTCTCCTCCCCCTGCCTATAACTGGCTCAGGGTGGTCCCCGGATGTGAGGACGATTCTGTTATACCTCAAGTCAGGTTCTTGGAGGTGGACCCGGAGTTCGGCCTGTCCTGAGGACCAAGGGCATTTCAGAGTCGGCCTTCTCCATAATTCCCAAGGCCATCTGGCCAAGGGCAGACAGCCAGACCTTCAGCCCTATTTGCGCCTGCCTCCCAGTGCAGTGAATGTGTCCACCCTGTCTGCGACAAGGGAGCAGGCCATAGGCTGGCATCCCAGGGGCCTTTGGGAAGTGTGAGGGGCCAGATGGCAGCGTCTCCGCCTGCCAAGGTCTGCGGACACCACTGTGTTCACCAGGCCGGTGTGAGGTGGCCAGGCTCCTGCAGGGTTCACTTAGGAACAGGAGCCAGGCAGGGCGAGGGCCCTTCCCAGGTGTGGATCCGCTGGAATCAGGCCTCTGGTGGGTCATTTACCCTGTCGGTTACTCCAGCTCCATTCTTGGCTCTTTGGTTTACTTGGAACCTGGTCGATTGCCCACAGAGAGACCCTGACCCTTGGTAGCAGTCACACTCGCGCGGCTGCTCCAGCTCCGAGGCACACAGCGCTCTCTTCTGTCCCGTCCTTTGGAGAGCTGGGGACTCACACTCCTCAGTCACTTTTCCCTTGTTTTTCTCCTAGTAAATAAGCGGTGACATGCTGATTCTTCCGGATGTGGAGAGGGAGGCGACATCACCCACAGCTTCATTTCTGGGGGGGGCGGGCCTGGAAGGGCGTCTTCGGGGAGGCCGGGACACCCTGCACACCCACCGCGGGCCGGTCCTTAGGGAGCCCTGTGGCTTCCTCGGTTTCCTCACCGCCCTCTGCCAGGCAGGCTGCTACGCCACCCGCAGCTCAGCGGCCTCAGAGGGGCAGAGGCCCCGAGTGGGCGCCTTTGGGGTCCGCAGCTTCACAGTCTGTGGCACCCGCACGTCCCTTCCCAGTCCCCTCGTGAGGAGTGGAGTCCCAGGCTAGGCCCGGCCTGTGGGCTGCAGGGCCCGGGCGCCCCTCCCTGGCCTCCCGACCCCATCTCGGGGTCGCCAACTCACCAGCCTCGGCCCCAGGCCCTGCCTGCGCCCCCGCTGCTGCTCTGGGCCCGGCCCAGGCGGTTTTTGAGTGAATACGCGTGGCATGGATCCCAGGGGCTGCATCGCCGAGTTGCGGGTTGCCCTCGCCTGCAGGGCGGAGACCGTGGATTCCCGGACTCGACTCTCCCACTCGGCCCACGCCGGGGCGTGGGGCGGGGCCGAGCTCCGTGTCCTCCCAGCGGTCCGCCCGCGTGTCCGGCAGGCGGCGGCGTCGCGCCGAGCTGTGTCGCCGGGCGCACTTCCTGTCGCGGGCGGAGCCGGGAGGCTGTCAACCCGCGGGCGCGCGGCCCTTCCGCCTGCGCCGCGCGGACCTCCGGGCCGGGACCGAGCCCGCGGCCAGGATGGCGGTGCTCAAGCTCGCGGACCAGGTGGGCGCGCTGCGCGGGGTGCGGGGCGCGGCTGTGCGGGGCGTGCACTGCGCGCGGGGTCCGGGTGTCCGCGGCGTGCACTGCGCCGGGTTCGGGGGTGCGTGGCGTGCCCTGCGCGGGGCTTGGGTTTCCGTGGCGTGCACTGCGCCGGGTCCGGGGATGCGAGGCGTGCATCGTGCGGGTGTGCGGGGCGTGCACTGCGTGCGGCCGGCGGCCGGCGGGGGAGGGGAGCGCGGTCCGGGCGGGGGGAGGAAGGTGAGCGCCCAGGGGGCAGAAGCGCAGCCAGGACCCCCGAGCCCGCCCGGGCCCGGGCCCTGTGGGACCCAACCCCCTGATCGGACACCCCGACGTCCTCCCGGGGCCCAGGGCCGGGCCGGCGGGGCGGGGACCCTGGGGACGCCGGCCAGGCCGGTCCCTCGCGCGGTGTCGCCCGGTCCCGGCTGTCCTCGCTCGGGTCCGGGTGGGAGCGCCCGTCCCCTTCTCTCCGGGCTGCGGCTCCGGGGACGCGACATCAGTGGGTGGCCAGGGAGGGGCCCGCGGCCCCAAGCGTGTTCGTGGACGGTGGCGCGGGCGCGAGCGGGGATCCCGGGGGCGGGCTCGACCCGAGCCTGGGCGTCCGCGCGGGGCCTGGCCCGGCCAGCCCGGGTGTCTGGGACCCTGGAGCCCACGGCCTGCTGGGCCCGGCCCAGCCCGGCCGGCTTCCTAAACCTGCCCTGCCGAGTTCGAAGGCGGCTCCTAAGGGTGTCGCCCTCGGCAGAGCCCGGTACCCGTTGCCGAGGGAAGGAGCCGGCGCGGGGAGCAGGTCTTCGGGTCTCTCCGTTCGGGCGCGGACCCCGCCTCCTGCTCCTGGGCTCAGGCATCGGGAAGGCGCCGTCCTGGGTCGGAACCGGGCGTGTGCGGCTGGGCCGGGAGGAGGCGGCTGTCAGACCTCTGCCTTTCCAGCACCTCTTGTCCTTCCCAGCACAGCGGCCTTGCTGCAGCGAGAAGCAAAGCGGGGTGCAGCCTCCCTGGGGTCCCAGCTCCAGACGCAGGCCCGCCGGGCCGGACCCCCAGGTGGAGAGGGTGTGGTGAGGTGGTGCTCCAGGTGTCCCCAGGCCCGGAAGCCGCCTGTCTTTCGTGCCTTATGCAGCCTGACTTCTGTTTGCATCTCACTTCTTCGAGGTTGGTTCTCGACCTTACCCACTCGCACTTGGCTCCTTGTAGACTGGCCACCGGCCACTGTGGGAAGGAATTCCCGCCCCAACACCTGTAGGGGAGCCTTGTTCTCTCTCTTCATCCCTCCCTTACCCCTTAAATGCCCCTGATTCAGGAGCTGAATCCTGATGTTTTGTTGTTATTGATTTTTTTTTTTTTGGTACCAGGGATCAAACTGGGATCCTTGCCCTTGCGAGGCAAGTGACAGAACCATTGAGCTAAATCCCGGCCCGGTTGTTGTTGATTTTTGAGACAGGGCCTCACTATGTAGCCTAGGCTGGCTTCGAACTCACAGTGCTCCTCCTTCCTCAGCCTCCCAAGTGCTGGGATGACAGGCGTGTGCCACCACACCCGGCTCAGTCTTGACTCTTGCCAGGGCTCTTAGGGTTTCAGTTACCACCTGCTTGCTGCTGACAACCTGCATTGCAGTTTGTCTCGGTTTGTGTCTGAGCGTGGCTGGAGAGGTGGCAGCCAGGGCAGGTGCCATGGGTGGCGGGAGGCGGTCCAGTGGTGATCTATCAGATGTGCATGAGAGGGCCTTGCTCCTTCTCACTACTTGGGGAAAGTAAGAGGGAGGGGAAGGGGGGCCACCGTGGTTTTTACTTTTTACTTTTTTTTTTTTTTTACTGTGAAAAGGAACTGGGAGCTCTTGCCACAGAAAGCCTGGGATTTAGCACTTCTGCTTTGTGACCGAGTCCCTCGCGTCTCTGGTGTGCAGGACGCACCCCATTTTCCTCGCAGCGTCAGGGTGCCTGGGCACCCCAGTTTGCTGTGGGCAGATTCCCAGGCGGCTGGGAGGAGCTGGCCCCTTTCCAGCCAGCACCAGCTGTGTGATTAATCTGACAACATAATCATGTCCTCTGAGATGGACGGTAAGAGGCTTACTGACATCTTCCGATGCGTGTGAGCTAATTGCAAGTTTGAGAAAGATTTTATCTTAGTGCATTTTGGCTTGCAGTAGCCGTGAAGCCTTTTGCATTCGGGCTGGATGTTGAACTTTCTGGGGTGACCCTGTGTCCTACGGCTTGGGTGTCGCCCACCGTGAATTAAGTGTGTGGTCACATCTTCCACCTGGCTCCTCCCAGGTTTTCCCCTTAGTTACAGAGCTGGGCACAGAGCTGCCCTGGACATTGGGAACGTCCCTGTTCCTACTCGGGTTTGTTCCCAGCAGTGGAGTGCCACCTCCGCACTCCGAAGGTTCGGGCACAACCTGTGTCAGCAGGTGGCCCCTTCGGAGCTTCCTGCTCGAAGGCCTTCTGGTGCGGTGTGCTCTACCAAGCCCTCGCTCACACTTAGTCACCCCAGTCCCTGCCAGAGGCCGCAGCTGGCAACTGTGGCAGCGGTGAGAGACTGAATCCTGCTCCTGGCGACCAGGATGCAGCCCAAGGCACGGCTCTGGGAGGGCACACGTCTTCCAGGCTGCCCTCATCCTCGGGGCTCCCGGGGTCGAGCTGCAGTCTGCCTCTGGCGGAGAGGAAGGGGAGCACAGGCTTTGTTCCGGGCCTTTTGGCTGCTTGGGGAGCAGTCTCGCAGTTTGGGGTGTGCTCGAGGGCTAGTGCTCTGACCGCGCTGGGCCCTTGCGTGCGTGCGTGCATGCGTCTTCCCGAGTAACTGACCCGTAGCAGCAGTGGAGGTGACGGACCGTTCAGGTTGCAACCCCAGGCATCGGCTGAGCCCTTCCCCGCCTGGCTGTCCATCCCCAGGGGGGCTCTGACCGCAGGCCGGGAAGGAGAAGCATCTCCCACGACCCCTTCCTCCGGGCAGACCCCTTCCCTCGTGAGTAGGGGATTCTGGGCAGATGGAACCGGGCCAGACCTGCTAGGCAAGCTCTGTATCACTGAGCTACACCCCAGCTCTGGTTACTTGTTTATATCTCATATACACTGTAATGCTGGGTAACCAATGCTAGACATGCAAAAAGAAAAGTATAGGAGCTAAAACTGTCTGAAGTCTCTCTCTCAAAGACAACTCCTCTTGCCTTTTTTTTTTTGAAGTAGGGTCTCACTGTGTAGTTCAAACTGGTCTTGAACTCATGATGATCCTCCTGCCTCAGTTTCCCGAGTGCTGGGATTACAGGCATGTGCCACCACGCCCGGCCTGCTCTTATCATTTTGCCGTAGCTCCTTCTAGGCTTCTGTTTAGGTAGCCAGGGAAAAATTTTAAACTTTCCAGGTGACAGTATCAGTGTTTTTCATTTATATACATAGCTAATATTTATGCTTTCTAGACTGATGGCCTTTTGAAATAAACTTACAGTTTTCTTAAGTGCATGATTGGGCTGCTGGAGCGGAAGTTGACAGAGCACCCAATCTAACCCTGGATTGGTTGAACCTGTTTAAAAAAAAAACCCAACTTTTACTTCCTCTTTTCTTCTAAATAGCAAACATAAACTCAAAAAGGCACTTTTTTGGGGACCAAAAACAGGACTGAAATATTCTGTGAGATGGTTTATATTTCAACAATATAATGTGAATTCTTTATAGGCTGAAGGATAATATGAAAGAACTTAAAAATAGGCAAGATCTACAAATATCTGATAATCCTGAGGTTTTAAATCTTGTTCAAGCTATGATATACTCCTTTTTGTTTTCCCCAAAGAAAATTCCATATTGAAGGTCAATATGACCAAGAAATGGGCCAGAATAGAGGTCCCTAAGCCTTTTTGAGGATTGTTGGGGTTCAGTGTCATTGAAAGCCCCTCTGCATGAGAAGCAGGGTGACTGGTTCACATTTCTTCTTTTTCCTGACGCGCGATGCACTGGCACAAGGTCTCTGTGTCTGCGGTGAGTAGGAAGGGATGGGTGACGGCGGTGTCTCGCTTGCACCGACCCAGGATCCTCTGGGTTGGACGGGTGCCATTAGATCCTCCTTGGCGATGCAGATGTGGGCCTGGACACCCGCTCACCTCCAGCTGCGCGTGGACTCTGCCCTGTGGAGCCTGCTGTGCCCTCTGGAGCCCGGTCTTGCTGCTCACGGCCTTGTGTGGCCCAGGGCTGGACCCCGGCAGCTGGCTTGTGGCCAGGGCTGGCCAGGGATTTCTGGATCCTCTGTGCAGTGGTCCAGACAAGGAGCACAGCTTGGGTTTGCCCGAGCATCCGGGGCCATTTCCCTGAGGTCCTTGTAGTCTCCAGGAGCCTGGATGAGGGACACAGAGCTCTCAGAGGCCCTTGAGAGGTCTCCCAGCCCTGTGGGCCCTGCCTGCCCCACTGAGTAGTGGTCAGCCGGCCGCCTCAGCCTTCCTTAGGGTGCTGCCCACAGGAACAGCGGGGCCTGGCTGGCTTCTCAGGTGTGGCCTGGATCCGGTGCACCTGACAGGAGGGAAGGGCGATCCTGCATGCCACCCCTGGGCGCTTCTGGTAGACGTGGCTCAGTTTCTGGAGGGACTTGTTTGGTGTCTTTTTGTTGTTGTTTTGAGACAGTCTTGCTGTGTAGCTCAGGCTGGCCTCGAACTGGCTGTGTAGCCCAGGCTGGCCTTGAGCTCCCAGGGGTCCACCTGCTTCAGTTTCCCAAGTGCTGGGATTACAATCATGCGCCACCACGCCCGGTTGGTTCAGTATCTGACACAGGCAAGGTGGAGAGAGAAGTTGTGAGGTCAGCAGAGAAGTGAAAACAGAAAGCCAGGCAGACAGCATGGGCCACTGGCGTGAACCAACCCACCAGCAGTTGCTGAGCAAGGCCCTGGAGTGGCCAGTGCCTGTCCCAGGAGGTGAACAAGACAGCCTGTTGAGCTTAACCTTAGGGAAGAAAATATTAGAATTCACATTCCTTTACATCAGGTGTGGTCGTGCACGCTTGGAATCCCAGCA